CCACCAAGTTGATTTTATGAAGAAAAATAATATTTTAAAACACAGAAAACCTTCACTGTTATCTGTACTTTATCTAACGAAATACATGTGAACAAGGTCATTATACTACAAGAGCTTGTTCAACGGTGGAAAGAACGAGAGTGCAACAACTACGTAAAAATAAATTACGGTCGCAATTAAAACAGAATTTTACGTTTACATAGAACAGTCTGTGGTACTTATACTTTATAAAGTATCTTTTACTAAGACTGGAACATGTTCTAGATATGGACGTACGCGTTTTGAAAGAATCCCCTTTTCCGATGTTTGACCTAAAAACTGTTTCAGTAAACAATTTTCACGACTGATGGTGAAAATCAAAAACCCTGGGATTTCAGAAAACACTCTAGCATGTCAGCTTAGTCTGGGTTATCATCTTTTCACACACACAAAGGTTTTGGCTAATGCACATTAGGTTAAGTTTATATCTGAGATTTTTCTTAGAAAATAATAAACATTAACAATCAAGGTATACCTGTATGGTTGCAATACAATTCATTTAATTTTAATGAATGAATCTATAATTTATTTTCTGATATAGTAGTTGTTATTAACCAATAAAAGTAATTATTTTCAGGCTGTTGTTGTAGAAACGTTCTTTATCTGTTTCAAGTGAAAATATGTTTGGTTGGTATATTTTAAAAATAGATTTATTACAACTATACACTGCAGAGTTTATTAGTTTTTACTCACATGTAAGTTTCTGGACAGACATGTATATGAAAATTTTCATAAGTGCTGTAACAGTTTGTGAACAAAGTAAAAGAACTGGTCTAATTCTACCACATTAGAACTTACTATGATGCAAGTCTGGTGATATTACATGTTGACATTTCTTCTTGGATGCTTAAATGATTTAATATTAAAATAACAATGTGTTACCATTACAACATACTACTGCACTGAACCTAAATCTGTGAACACCTACCATTATAAGAAATAGAAACATATGGACACAAAGTAGGCATGTATACTTCAAGTTTTTAAATGTGTAAAAATTACCTGCTTTAGCAGTTTGGTTTGAGTTACTAACATACCTTCTAAGGTTCAGCAACCATGCTTTCTAGATGTCAGTAACCTTGAATGTACCATTTGGCAAGAAAAAAGTTCCAATTCACTTGCATTAAATAAAAGGTTATGTGTAGTTGTTTAACAAAAGAAACTACAATAAGTACCTAGAAGATTAGAATCTTAAAAATGACTGATTTTTGTGGCACAGCCAAGGAACAGGTTAATTGATACTACTGATTTTTGCAATCATGACCTCTAACCTATTTCTGGCCACATGTTAATTTTTTAATGACTATTTTAACAAAGTTTTATTTAAAGGATATCAGATAGTTTATAAAATATGTTCAGATACATACATGCACAAAGTAAAATAATAGAAAAATATTAACTCTCATTATACTTGTGGGTAAAGCTTTGAAAATATTCATTTACTTACATTTACATAACTCTCTAAAAGTACACACAACTGTATAATTTTCAACTGAATTCATTATTGAGAGGTTGAATGACATAAAACAATTTTGAAAGAAATGTAATCTGGACATTAGACTACTTCATTTTAGTCTTAAATTAGAAGAAAAAATAGTGATTTTTCATTTAATTTCCTTTATTTATTAACTTCTTTTTAGTACAATATAAAGTTTACTACCATATGAAGCCAATATGCACTATTAAAAAACCAAGAAAGATCTCAACCAAAATAAATTATTTTTAAAATGTTCCAGTACACTTTATAAACAATATTTATTTCTATTATTATTTAATGAACATTTTAAATTCAATACAGTTATTTAGTAGTTATACCTCATATACTTGCGCAAAAAAAACAAAAAAAAAACAATCATGGCACGCTCAGATACTTGTAATAAGAGAAGATATCTAACCAAACTGCTTTGCATTTTGATCTCTAGAATTAGCATCTGACATTGATCTGTTTAAAATATCCCAACATTAAAAATATACGTGCACTGAGTACAATAGTGTAACAGTAACTGTTATGTGAACATTTACATTAAATCATTCTGGAAGGCTGGTGGTTAAACTCTTTTACTATAGGTGGCTGCATAGTGCATTCTAATTACTAATACCATACCTGTACATATGTTTGTTAATTTTTATATTCCACACTTTAGTTTTGTAGACTTACTAGAAAATACTTGCCTCAGTTGATTTTTGTTTTGCACTTCAAAGAATTAGTAACCCTTTCTACAGTACTGCAATATAATGTACAAAGTTAAAATATTAATCTGTGTACACATACTTTTTATTATAATATCTGCTGATAAAAGCCTTTTATTTTTTGTATGTAAGGTTTCCAGTGTTTTCAGTTGAACATATTTTCAAAATCAATTGATGTTCCACTATGTGGAAAAGAGGGGAAAAAGGCATAGAATGTATAATAGAATTATACAGTGACTGTAACAGTCAATATGTTTGTGCCTTTGTTTTCTCTTATTTACATTACTGGTATTGATAAGGGGTATAATTAATAAAGTTTACTGATGACATTGAAACTCTTGGTTATTTCAAGCAATATTGCAAAAGTTGAGGTATTACAGAATAACTTAGTTCAACTGGTAAGTTGGCCAAATATTTGGCAAATTACTTTTAATTATAGTTAGTGTAAGGTAATTAATATGAAGAAAATAATCTTGGCTTAATGGTGAATAAGTCAATCAAGCCATTGAGGCAAGTGCTCTTTTGTTAAACGTAAAGCTAATGAATTTTAGGATATATTTGCACATACAGATTGCAAGTCAACAGGGGTAAATATGACAATTTGTCTATTTACCTTCTACTTTTGCAAGGTAACTGCCTTAGAAATGTTTTGATTGTTACTTCAGTGATAGTTTATCTTTCCTGAAAGCAATATCCAACACAGTGACCTTCTAAACTTAGTAGTTTGTAGTAAACAACCCAGATCACTAAAATCAACAACAACAACGAAAAAAATGTTGGAAAGAGTTACACAAAGAGCTACCTACCAGAATAACAGCTTCAGAAATTTGAATAATGAAGAGAGACTAAAATTTAATCCCACTAAAGTGTAGGAAAAAATTAGATTAGTGTGATTTAAATGTGCAACATGGTTGCAAATGAGAATGAGTTGACTATATTTACTGATTTCTGAATTCATTACACAGCATGTATATGAAAGTACCTGAAAAAAAAAACACTACAGAAGCTTTGGAAACCTAAATTCTGGTTTAATCATTGGCTGAACTATCTCTCTTAGAGAACTGCAAACTTTTGGAAGGGTTTACTAGAAGGATAATCAGGGTGTGTGCTAATGATCTGAATTTGATTAAATTTTTGTAAGAAACATGTTGATAAAAATATTATATTTAGTTTTAAGTGATTGTTGATTCAATTGTTTTGGAATTACTCAATGGATTAAATAACCTTCTACCATTTTGTTCACTACTATACATTAAAAATTTGAGTCTTGTAAAATATAGTCCTCACTTAAAACAGATATACACTGTATGATTGTATGAAAATCATTATTGTAAACTTAAGGTATAGAAACCAAATAAGTACGTAATCTTGTCTGTTGTAATATAAATCTACATGTAGACGAAAGCTTGTATCTTAAAACTAGTGCAATTGAGGGTAAAAATTTGCTTATTAAAAATCCACTTAATTCTAATCATTGCTATAAGATGCTACTCAGGTAAATTCATGATATAATTTTATTAAACTTAAAATATTGATAACATTGAAATTCAAATGTTATAGAAACTTGTAGGCCAAAACTACAGTCCATATACAGTGAAATTATAGTAATAGTCTCAAATCAGCCAAATAACAATATCAATAGGACTTACCATCGAGTTATTCTGAGATCAAGATAATGAAAAAGTCATGTGCCAAAACATTTTTAAGTTCCACTCTCTAAATTATGCTTGTGTGTTCACTAAGTGTTTCTCTTTCTTTTATTACAATTCTTAGTTGAAATACCATTAACTTTGCAAGAATGTGTGGAAGTGATCTTGTTGTGTGAGGTTTTTTGACTGTCAATGGCAGATGGCATCAAAATTTGATGCATCCTCAGTGGAAGACTCCTTTGTCTCACATGAATATTGATTATTTTCTCACCAAGATTCATGAAATTGATTCCGTGGCCAACTGTATATGTGTGGAACAGCTGTACTTAAAAAAAGCATAGTGATGTGTGACTTTTCCATCACATTTAATAATCTTATAAGACTAGATACACTGAGTAAATAATATTCACCATACTTTAACGACTTGAACAAATAATACCAAATGTATTATTACTGTTACAGCTTTAATTTAAACAATTTAGGAACCATCACAGAAGAGTGTTTATTTCATGAACTCTAACATATGTGTAATGTAAACCTTCTTGAAGTAAAAGTGATTAGATTTACAAGCTGCATATCCGAATTTAAGAACATGCTCCTGAGTAGCTGCATAAGCAAACCTGTTCTTATTCTTAAATATTCACCCCAAAAAGACTATCAATTTTTAATAATTAAATACCTAACGTAAGTTCTGGAAAAGCACACAATTTAAAATAATGTCAGATTGACATTCGATCAACAAAAATAACCTTTAACTTAATGTTATATAAAATAACGACAGTGTGATAAAATCGAACAATTTTATACTTTAAAGTTAAATTAAATTTATAGTACAGGCACAACGGTTTACAAACTACAGTGCATACACCTCTATTATTTAGTTTATAAGTTTAATTAATTATATAGATGGCCCTATTAGTATTACTATTAGCGCCTACCTTAACCTCGTCCTCAGTCTTAGAAGTTAGACTGAAGCTCTCTAATTCAAGCACCTTAAGTTTAACATCTACAACAGTAAAACTACATTAGTACATGTACAAGATAAGTCAACACTCTAGTCTAAACTGTAAATAGACAGGTAAAAAATGAGATTACTACTACTAGTATAACAAATTAACTAACCTTTACTTTCACCCTGACGGCTTCTCTGGTATGGTAATTAAGAATACCTGACATTGCGAATGCTAGCAAATGGAATTAGACAAAGAAATAAGATACATTGCTATCATATTTTCATCACATTTATAGCATCCTCTATGATTTAACCAGCCATAATTTCAGTGCATATGATATTTGGAAAGCACTGTTGGCCAAGTACTGTAGTGACGTCACAATGACTGATTTCTCTAAGCGTCCTCTGTGAGTCTATTTTAGAAATTTAACCTACTTAAAAATCTTTATATATAATTCTCAAGTGTTTGTCCATCCTCTCTACCTATTAAACGGTTTGTCGTAAGAACAAACAAGCACAAAAGGTCTATTTCTGTGAGTAAATTCCGCCAAAAATACTTTCATTTTAAAATTATGTCGTTTTTCTGTCGCGAAACACGTGAAGAGAGCATACAAGGTTCTGGCGAATGCTGTCGACATATGTGGGAAAGTCAACGAAAGATTTAAACTTTATTTTTGACAACTTTTATCTCTACTCTCAAATATCTATAATTTTTTAAAAACTTTTTTCAGTTAGCTTTTAATAGTTTTACACTGGTGTCGAAAGAAAGATTCGTTTGATTAAACAAACGAACTGGTGCTTGTGTCACTATGCAGCGCCACATGTAAAAGCGCATAGTAAGTTTATCAGATAGATTTAGTCGACGTGAGCGGGAAAAACATTTTTTCAGGTATTATGAAGAACAGAAGTTCTTTAAAGCAAAATCCTTTTTTCTTATACTTCAGATATAGGCATAAATCAAAGTCTATGCAATTTTTATAATAAGTTATAAGAAAAGATAAACAGAAGTTAATTTAAAATTTTAGTTTAAGTGTATCCTATTATCATAACCATAAAACACATATGATACTACTGGTAGTATATTACTAACCCTGTAATATTGTATATAATATATGGTTATAGTCCATAAAGCTAGTTAGTATGATTTTAGTTTATACTAGACCCCCCGTGACCCGTTGGGTCAACCACTATTCAGAGGTTATGAAGAATTCAAGCTAACTTCAATATTGCACCCAAATGAAGGTTTATTTTGAGATAATTTAATTAAATATTTCAATCCATTCATGTTATACATAATTCAAGAAAAGATATTTGATTGTTGATCGGGAGTAAAAGACCAGTTCATTTTTTAAAAAGTGAAGCAAGAAGTTTCGTAAAGAACGCGAACGGTAGTGTGAATGATTTTTTGACTGAGAAATTAAGCAAACAAACAATCTCAGAGTTTTAGTAGTATATAGATAGATTCTTCAATATCTTGTTTTTGTCATCTTACGCCTTTTAATGAAGATGGGAACATTGACAGGAAAATAATATAATAGCCGATGCTCATCAATGTCTAGATTTAATTATGTTAAAACCATTATTTTGCATATTTCAACATCTGTACTAATACAGTTTGCTACAACTAAAAATAATAAATGAATGACTTACTGTTTATCCATCCATTTTCTATAGAACATTCCCTTGAAGATTAAAATTGCATAAAACTGTCTAACACTATTAGGAATTGATCAGTGGCAAACTCACTTCCAATCTTCTTTGCATACACAAATCTTGTGAAAGTATGCAATACATTTCTAAACTGTTCATAGCTTCTTTCAGACAATGTTCTATAAGACACTAACTGTTTTGCTTTCACAAGTAAAGCATACATATTATTTGAATGAAACAGTTATTATAACCAATGATTTGCTTTTATCATCCTACAACTAAATATAATAAATGAACGACTTACTGTTTAACATTACTACTATTTAAAATATCAAAATGCATAAGATTTATAAGATTTGGACTGTGCAATGCTAAGACACTATTAGGAAATTACATGCATACAATCTGGACACTGACTTTTAAGAATTATAAGGGTCATCACATGATCATACATATACAGATAGTGAATCTACAGTACACAAAGCCACCATGGAAATACTGAAGTCATTATTGTCCACACTTCAACCAACCTTTTACTGAGAGGAGAGGAGTGAATCAGCATTCACCTTAGTTACAGTCTGATGTGTTTGATATTCAAGGCCACTGTTTAGCTTGGTTTTAGAAAATATACAAGCAGGGCGTCAAGTTTAGAAAATCTTTTTAACCTTTAGTGTTAGCTAAAACAGGTAACATTGTCCTATGAACAGATGGAAAACTTTTATCAAAATAAAAGTAAATTATATTATACTGTTGCTATCTGTGTACTTACGGTATACTTATTATACAAAATAAGCCCGACATAATTTTAATATTCATCATACTTTAACTAAGGTTTTTGTATGTCACTGAAATTTAAAAGTCAGTAAACATAGTTCATTACATAATGATACAAAACAATAAATGTATATTATCAATATTTGATGAATTAGTGTACAATTATTGCATACTGTACCAAACAAATGGTCAAACTGTATCAGTCAGTTTAGAATAATTTTCAAAAGTAAAGATCTATTCAATCCTAATTTATGATATTTACATAAACATGTGAAATATGTGAGATTTCATTACAGACTAATGTCTAATTATTATTTAAAATATCTCATAATGTTTTGAAACATAATTTGTAATATCTGTGGTATATATTTGTTCTAGCTTATTATTAGTCATCATAAATGAAACATAAGGGCATTCTCCAAACTGTACAAACATATTACACTTGAAATCATAACTAAATTGACTGTCCCCTACAGCTTAAAACTGGCACATTTCCCCCTAATATACTATCTTCAATATATGTAAGTAGACTTGTAAAGTATCATAGGACCAGTTTTTGCACTTGTTTTTACAAAAAGACAGACAAACCAGAAATTCCATTTAGTGTCTTTCAAACTTCTTAGGATAAAAGACATATATATATTATTTAACATTTTTATAAATCCATCATTTTTACGATCCAAATAAGCTGTTCAGCTAGCATACAATTATAGCATACCTTACCGCACATACAGCAAAAGGTCAAACTGTATCAGTCCACTTAGAATAATTTTTCAAAATGAAAGATTGAACATATACATGTAAAATGTATGAGCTTTAATTATATATTATGTACTTGTGTAGTAACAGAATTAGTTGTTCCCAGATAGTGCTGAAAAACTCGTCCACAAGTTAGAGTTAACAATCATAATCATAAAAGGGCTTTTAGTTATAAATCAAGAGATTATTCTTTGACTGTTTCAAAACAGATATGTTTCCTCATGTGGATTTTGAAACTGTTATCATAACATGAATTATCTTTCAATTACACTTTATAGATACATAATCAAACGTATAAAAATCATCAGTTACAAATCAGAGTTCTGTGATTTTCTTATATGAGACTCACTTCTCATCATGGACTAATATACTGTTGCGTCATCGAGATCA